GCTATGCATCAATCGCGAAACGTGACGGGAGTCTAACGAGGGAAAAAATTTCTTCGCAACTTCATGATATTTTATTGCTTGCCATCTTATCAGAGATTTTACGACAGTACAGATTTATGGCAAAAATCCGGCATGAATAAGGTACAGGCGTAGACGTTTTATAGCCTCAGATTTATCTTACATGCGCGTTACCATGACGATGTCTCTTTTTATCGACGCGGATAAAAGCCAATATTTCGAAAATTCATCAAACGATCGTTCGACAATGTGAAATGACGAAAATAGAAGAATTTGCTTTGCGAAGCGTTAAATTCGCGCACGTTCGACTCTCGATATCGGCCGTTCGATGTGCAATAATTTGCAGCTTGGCACAAACAATGCAGTGCACGCCATGGAATCGTATAATTCCCGCTCGGAGGCGTGACATTTCGATAGCTCGTTGCCACTGCTGTGTCGGATGGAGGAAGATGTATTTCGGAATTCGTTCAATTCGCACGCGTTTTCATCTCGCGATTTTTACCGCTGGATTATACGATAATATATGGCGAGCCGTGTGTAATGGAGCGTTCCGCGAGCAAATGTAAAATTTTCATGAACGGCACTGTCCGGCGAAGAAACGTTCGCCAAATCCATTTTTCAGCTTTTTCATCTGTGATAACCTTGGCACGGCCTCTGACGTGATCTTTATTTACGTCCCGAGGAATACTGAGTCCTCTGCACTCACCACTATTTAAATCCTGATAAGAATTGTGTAGAAGTCGGCCATAAGGAACTTCAGTTTCCATACGTAAAAGTCTTATTAATGTCCTACGTGTGAATTTCTTTCTATGGACTACTGTACAAAGTTTCATTGGCAAAGGCATTTGCATAATGTCTTTCAAATGAAGATGAGTCGTTGTTGCTTTGTTCAAGCGTTTGCAAGCTCATTTAATCTCATTTTCTATAATTATGCAAAATATTTGGTATACTTAATTATTAATATTAACAATATCACAATGTACTTTTACTGTGTATTATACATTAAAGTTTCTGTATACGCTATATCTATTATTCGCGTGTTATTAAATTCTTTAAGAAATTTATAAAAGATTAAATGTAATAGACATTGCGATATAATAATACAAAATTTTGTAATAATCATATCTTCTATAAAAAGACAAGTCTTTTAAATTAATAAGAAAAGAATGTAAAAAGTACTTTCTTTGATAATTCTGCAGTTAAGTAAAAATGAAAATATTTAAGATAGTTATCTACTACGCGATTCTTTTTTCACGGCTATGTCCTTGCGGTCCACATCATCTAGACACGATACTTTGCATATTCATCGACAAGGATTTCCGCGAAAAAAATCATTTCCAGCTGAAATTCATTTCCCAGAGTAAAATCATATGACGTGTCCGGACGCGTCAGCAATTCCTTTCTTCATTTCATGCGCTCTCGACATCATAAAACCGTCCCGATCTTTCTTGAGGAACGTGGAATGAAATGAGATCATAACCGCTGAATTTCGTGCGAATGACCGCGTATGAAACTTAAAAGTCTTATCTGCCAAAAGATGAAATGTTATCGTTAAATTAAAGCCCGAATTCCGACGAGAAACGTTGAGACGTTAAAACCGACTTTAATCGGTGATTGGAGTAAACTAGGACTTTTCTATTTAAAGTTTTTGCGATTTCAATCTCCCGTACTTTTTGAAGAACAAATAACCCATTTATTTAACGATTAAAGGAACGACTGTTCTTTCGTGAAAGGCAAAAGATCAAATCTTTGCAATTTTATTGCCTAAAATTATAAGTATATAATTGAATCTCTATTTTATTAAAAAATATAAAAAATTATATATTTTAAAGTATATAAAAAATATTTAGAGTTTCTTTGCTTTTTATGATTGTAGAAAGAACGAATAATTAAGATAACAATACAAATAATAAAAAATTTCTTTACACTTTTAGTATAATTATGTTGCAAATAAAGGATAATTAATATTTTATTTATTTTGTACTTGGCTTTTTTTTAATAATCAAGAATGCTTCGTGCTTTAACTCTTTTATTTTATATTTTGTATACGAACTATTATGTGTGTAGAACGTTATTCCCTTACTGACTTAAAAACGTAAAATTGGTTAAATTTACGCTGGTGTCTCTGTGAGATCTCGAAATCGTACTTGTTTCCCTTTCTTTCTTTGTCATTCATGAATTCAATTATCCGTTGTATTTCCCAAGGATGCCGTATGTCTAAGTTTTACAATTTGGCTTACGCTGCGGTGTCTTCGTTGCATACGCGACAGAAATGGAACGATGCCGCGTAGATAATGAGAATTTCTCGAAAGAGCTTGGAAGAAACTGGCACGTGCATTTTTCATCATTTTGCGGCATGAGACGCCGCCAATCGCGAGGGAATACACTCATATTTAATACTTTGTGTTCTTCGTGTTTATTCTGTTTCTTCGTATCTATTCTTTGTTTCAATAGTTAGAACTAAATAAGAATATTATTTATAGGAATAAATAAAATTATTGATTATACTTTTCCTAATCTCCAAAATGTTGTATTCGGCTTAAAAAAATAATAAATAAAAATCAGTCAATTGAAAAAACCAGAATCATTAATTCATTAATTGGCAATTACATACTGTAACACACAACAACAATATCCTATATTGATTTGCTTTTTGCAACTCCATTATATAACTATAATATATTACTACGTATAATTTAACACAGCTGTACAATAAATCATTATTTCAACTTCATTACAATTATTATATTTATTATCGTGGCAAAATATAGTATTGCAAAATGTTAATATTAAAATAACACAAAAGTAAATTGGCTTTTTTTATGATGCTTCGTATTCCGCAGATTGCAAGAGAACCTTGTTCCGCGACACGAATGTTATCACGCTCGTTGTAAAAGAAATTTATGCAGCGCGAATGTTCGCGCTTTAATTACGCGTATTTTTTCCTGTCCCGCGCGCACTCTATCTGCGAGTTCGCCTCGCGCCGCTTAAATTCGCATCCTTGCGCCTCTGTTCCGACTTTCGTGGGCGAGTTGCAATGTAAATGTGTATACGGAATGCAAACTCTGCTCGTCTCCCTGTGGAAACGCACGCAAAGAAATACTGACTATACAAATACGAAGTGCATCGAGCCAGGATTTTACGGTTGTCAATGAAATTTGAACAATAGAAACGGGATTTTGCATTAATCCCATTATTCATAACTGTTCATGGGGAAACAGCATGTACACGTCCTTTTTTCGTCTGTAAATACTAGAAACCGAATTAAAAAAAATTCTGTGCTTCAATATCGGGACATTGGTGTTTTTTTAATTTTAAGCAAACAAAAATTTAATTTAATAGAATTTTATTGAATTGGCCAAAAAGCTTTTTCGTTTCTTTTAAAGAAAATTTAAAAACAAATTTTATGTCAATCTGAAACTTGTTTTCAAATTTTCTTAAAGAAAATAAACCAATTTTTTGGCCAATTAAACATTTTAAAGTATAATTATCGGCAGATATAATTAGAACTATGAACGAATCAATACTATTCAATCTACTATCTATTTACTAATACTATCATACTAGTGAATAGAATTGAAAACGACATTTAAAACACGTTCGATGACGACTGATGTTCTTCAGCAATAAAAATACATAAATTAATTAAATCCACATTGTAAATAATTATATAATATTAAAAATATTAACACAAATACTTTATTGTGATTGATGAAAGATTATCGTTCAGCTTTAAGCTAGTTCAGCTTTACGATATCTTACTTTCTGAGATGTGTCGATAAATGTCGATAAACTCCCGCCGCAATATGAAACTTCAGCCAAAGTATCAGATCCTCGATACATTGATGTAGTTATTTAGAAGCCTCAATACACTTCATTAATCATGTATTAATCCATTAAGTTTTATTTATTATCTATTAATTAATAAAGAGCAAATTTTAGCACCGCAAGTTTTAGCACCACATTTTTTTGTATTACTTTTTTTTAACATAAATATATGTTAAAAACCCCCCGGAACAATAATAATAAAAACATTTTGTTTGCATTTTTATGCATAATATGCATTTTTGCCAAATGTTGTATAAATATAAGTGAGATCAGAACTATACAAATAAAGATTTTTAAGTCATTTTCTAAAGGCGACGATAAAGTTTACCAAGCTTATTTAAGTAATAAACATCGTAAGATATAAAAACTTCCAACTCATTAACGTTAGTAACAAATTACCTGAAAGTTACTAAACTTCATGAACCACAAATCCGTACTTTAACTGAACAAAATACTCCGTTATTTGTAACATAATGAGGCATGTAAGGAGAGAGAAAGAGAGAAAGTGATAGAGTCAAAGGTAAACAGAAAGAGCGAAGAAGGGGAGAGGACAAAGAGGAAAAGCCGTGTAATAAAAAGCAGTAGCGTAGTCTAAAGAAAGAGAGACAAAAGAGGTGATTTATTCAAGAAAGATAAACTGCAGGTCGTAATGGTAGAAGACAGGTGAAGGGAGAGGGAGAGGGAGAGGAAAAAAGTGAGACTTACGGAAGGAAAGAGACAGGTAACGAGCGACGAAGAAATAAGGAAGAAGCGAGAGGAAGGGAAAAAGAGAGACAGAGAGACAAGGGTTGAGAGAGAGAGAGAGAGAGAGAGAGAGAGAAGAGGAGAGAGAGAGAGAGAGAGAGAGTATTCGCAAAGTTGTGTATTCGCGGGAAGTAGTCCAGAACTTTGGACTTGGGCGGCTAACGGTGGTGAGGGGGTAGGTAGGTAAGTAGATAGGGGATAGATCTGTGCTCGCACAGTCTTCGGAAGATAAACGTTGCACCGGCAGAAAGAAAGAGAGAGAAAGAGAGACAGTTATTCCCGCGTTATCCTGCTCCTATTTCTTACGTTTTTCCCAAAGCGAGGCGATGCGACGTCGACGACGGGACGAAAGAGATCGTCGCAACTAATTACGCGCAATTTCTCACTGACTGCTGATTGTGATTGGGCAGGGCTGGTAAGTGGCGGTTTGCACGAGAAGCGGCTGCTGAACGACCTGCTGGACGCGTACAACGTGCTGGAGCGGCCGGTGGGTAACGAGTCCGATCCCCTCCAGCTGAGCTTCGGCCTCACGCTCATGCAAATAATCGACGTCGTAAGTGTCCAAACTATTTTCTTCAGCTTCACCGTCCGGGCGTCGGACTCAGTTTTTTTTTTCGCGCCTTCGACGCTTCGGAGACTCATAGATTATACGTAATCTTTATTTCTTTATTTCAACATCAATTATAAATGTCTGTAAAGTGTGTGTTTTTGTGAATATTCTTTATACATCATGCATTATCTTTTATATTTTTGTATTAATTGAGATTTTTTTTTTCTTTTCGAAAGACCATTTATAGATCTGTCTTGAAAATTATCATATTTGATTCGTGATGACTTGAGTTTTTGTTAGTTCGTCAAGAATATTATTTGATAATTATTTAATTAACAATACAGAAAGCTTTCGTATTGTCATTATCCATAATATTAGTCGTTGAAATTTTAAGTCTGATTTAATAAAAGTTAATGTTATTCTGGCGACGTAAGCGTATTTTGTTACCACAAGACTCGCAAAATTATTAGTATCAACCAATATTGGTGAACAAATTTATGTAGCGCGTTTAGATTTTAGATATATTAAGATATGTATAGTATCAGTAGACTCTTAAACATGTTCCATCATGCTGATCCGACGCTCGCATATCAGAAATCTTGAATAGTCGCTTGGCAAACAATATATAATATTCTTGAACACGTATTCTTGAACACGTTAAAATAATATACCGCAAACTAATATTAACTATTTTTCTTACAAAAATAACTACTAAATTTTTCTTAGTTAATTGAACTCGTTCCTTAATCTGTGAAGCAAATTAAAATCGTTTTCTAATTAAAAATAAGTTTAGCCATCAAATTACTCTACAAAAAAAATTATATTGATATTATAATTAAAAAATTTTTGATATTTTTCAATGATTATGCAATATTCTATCTTCGATTTTTCGTAAAGTCTGTTATTAAAAAATAGTGCGGTTGATTACGTATGCTTTGAATACGACAGAATTACGTGTGTGGTACTGACGTATGTCCGTGTAACGTCCTTGTAACTATGCATGTCGCGGCAGAAATAACATTGAAGCAAACAAAGTGCAGTCACTGCTGCAATTCGTAAATGTGTGCGTGTTGGTGTAATACATGTCGCCGTAATAGCATGCACACCGGCGGATAAAAGTACCGCGAATTCCAAAGTTGCGGCCCTAAGTTGGCCGCAGATGAATCGCGCGCACCGATCAATGTCACAGATCGACGCTCAGCATTCGCTTAGGTCTTATTGTTAGACGGACTATAAATTGGGGTAATAGCGTTAAAACTGTCTTTAGAGAATCGCTATAGCCTCGATTGCTCGCGTGTATTTACTACTTTGATGAAAAATATATCTGTTGTATAAAGTTTATTAGATTCAAATCTGCGTTTGAGAATATGTATCTATAATCAATTAAAGAATTGAGTTTTATAACTTTATATATGTCATAAAGATAATGTATAAAATCACATAAATTTTTTTTAAAAAGTACTATTTTACTCGATTATACGTAAAAATTTGCTGATTAAATATATAAAAGCAAAAAATCAACTTTATATTTTGATACAAAAATCTACTAAAATGTTATTGCGCTTTCTGAATGTCTGAAGTAATTGATTATTTTATTAATTATACCTAATACTCAATAATGTAAAATGGCAATTTAATTTTTTTTAAAATAAAATTTCAATTTATTATTGCATTATTATATTGAAACAAACAAATAGATAATATTTTTTCGTCAAAAAAATTATTTACTTGATTTAACTATCTTCAACACTCATAACTCATCGCGAATGAAAAGATTTATCATTTTGTTCGTCCCTTTATTTCCGTAGTTCGTGCTGATTCGGTGGCAAGGGGTCAAATGGCGAAGTTAAAGCACGACTTCCCGAAAGAGACAACGCATGAGTTCCCTCCCGTATGCGAAACAGGAAGCTTTTAATTTCCGAAATCCGTATTGTCGGTCGGTGCCGCGGCGGCGGCTAGCTTCGACGGCAACTCGAACTATTCCCTTCCCCTCCAGTCGAGAAAGGCAATATCACCAGTTTCGTGGTGCATGCGTGGCCCCGAATATAAATAGCGTGTGCACCGTACACGACCGTGTACGCTATGCGCCACACGCGCCTTGCACCGCCGTTTATCTTCGACGTTGCACGCCGCAATTTTCGACGCAGCACTGGGGGATGCGCGATAAACTACCGAGAAGGATATCGAGTGGCAAGGGATGCGAACGCGATATTGTGATCACACGCTGAGTCTAATAATAATGTTCCGGCATTGATATTGGGAGAGTATGCGTTGCTAATCTGCTATCTATTAAAAAATCCAAAGGATTATTTCCAAAAATAGGGCATATCAATTAAATAAAAAAATTTTTTTTAATTATTATGTGGTTATTTAATGCTAAAATAATATTAGTATTCTATCTGCTTATCAGCATTGCTGCGTATGTTCTGTGTTATCAATATATGAATATAAAATTTTGCTGTTATCAAAAGTTATTTAAAGTCACTGCATGTTTGTACGAGAGTGTAGCATGTGGTGTTTATCAAAATATGTAATATCCTTACACGATATTCAGAAGATACTCGTATCACGGAATACAAATCAGCGTGTGTATCTGTGCCGCATCTAGATTGCACGTCGCGGCATGTATGTTGTTGCCATTTGCACCCCGTGTACCCATGCACACGTGTCACTGCCTATCACTTCTGCGCATTCGGGGATTTCGTATGCTATTGCGATCGTTGCGGGTATCTATAAAGCCCGGCCGAATGAAAAGTGGATGTGTGAGATAGCGACTTATTCAGGATATTCGAAAAAGGTGGCCTGCACGCCAAGATCTGTAGATATAGCGCGCAACTAATAATTTGCTTATAAAGTTATAAATGAAATATAGAGTTTCGAGACTATCATAATCACTACAAAACGTGTCACAAGATACTTTTTAATTTTCATCACTGCGCACTTTTAATAAGCAAGCTTTAAATTAAAATTCCGTGAAAAGTAAAATAAAACTTCTACTTTCTAATAACAACTTTAAAAAAACTTATGAAAAGCAAATATTTATTTTTCACGATATGTTTATCGCAATGTATGTATTAAAAATATTTGTCCTTGTATTAAGTCTGTTTGTTTTAAAAACATATCTTAATTGTTATTGTAAAAAATACTGCAGATTCTGTGATAGTAAGTACGCTAACATTATTTTCCAACAATCTATAAGAAATCTTTAATGTCATTGCACATCGAATTAATCGGTGGAAATTTAATTGTAAGGAGTCCGATAAGTAGAAAGAAGCGGGACGATCTATTTTTTTCACAAAGATTCAAACATGTCTTACGTCACTGGATATAAAAACATCATCATCGATAAAAAAAATTATATGCAAGAAGCATACGCATGATTATCGAGATGCCGTTTGTCGGAATTATCTTGATGCATATCGATAAAATCTGCATGCGAAGACCTTATTTCTTTTATAGCCCTAGATATTTATATAGATTACACGTATATCTTTATACTTATTGTTTATATTTTTCCACATATTTATATCTGAAAAGCAAAAGAATATTAACTTGTTTTTCCAAAAAGCTTATAAAAAATCAATGTAAAAATATTTTATAAGATAAATCAACAAATAAATTCAAACAAACATTAAAAAAAATAACAAAAAACTTATATGCCATTGTATATATATTCTTGATGCTTTCGTATATATATTTTTTATTTTAAACAATATAAATTTATTATACGATTATTTTTATTGTAACATCGACTTGCTGCGTCGTTTTCAATCATCAATATACAATAGCTTCAACTGAACTTTTGCTTCTCAGATGTAGAAGTACGTTTTGTCTACAAATTGCAAATCTTTTCTATAGAATCAAGAGAAATCAATTACTTATTCAGAAGTGCCCTTTGTCATAGCGCTCGAACGGCATGACGCTTGAAATCATGAACAATTTCGTCCTGGAACCAGCATGCCTGCTCCAGGAGTAAGTTTCAATAGTGTTCCGCAGCGGAATAGTACTTAGTTTGGAGATTAGCCGAGTTTCAGAGCTCACTTGCAATGGCACCGACTATCTCGTTTCTTCGGCCGAGAGTGTGCACGTGCGCGGTACAGCGCACTGACGTTTCCACCGCCGACGAGAGCGGAAGGAAACTCGCAGCGTTATCGTCAATGCGCGCAATATATATTTCGGCACACATTCCCTTAGGGTTGCTTTGCCTTATCTCGCAATGAGTTTGTCTTGTAGATAAGTGTAGTTCAACAAATCGGCCGTAAGATATATGCCACCCCCACACATAAAAGTAATTGGTTGTACTTGCGCGCGATTTATCAAACATCCGAGTATTGCAATTTATTACTAGGCAATTGTAAATTTTTTTACAATTTATTGTATTCAGCTAAATGTATACAAAAGAGTGGAAGATTTTAAACCGTAAACAATATCAAAATAAATATAGAGTGATTCGCGATTACAATATGAAACGTTAGGAGTGTATTTCTCATACAAATCTAAGGAAAGATCTTTACAAGAAAACATCCAGAGAGAAATGTTATTTGCAACTTCTTAAATCTCTTGGAAACTAAATCTGGCATTTATAAGTCCTCTTTTAAAATTAAATGAGAAATAAAGTTATAGATCCATATTCATTTCCGAAGCTTAGTTTATTGAAGTTTATAACTATAAAGACTATTAATATCTCTTGAAATTTTTGTATCAGAATTTTAATTCCATTATCAAATTTGAATAAAAATTTACATTTTACGTTTCATACATTGATATCGAATCACAGTATATTTATAGATAAACTAATAAATAAATTGATTAAATTATAGTTTGATACAGTAATTGTTTGCTGTTGGAAGCTTCTATTTGTTTCAAATTATATTATTGATAAATGTTATTATATATTATTGATTATGATTAAATCCGACAAAATAGAAATGGATATAACAATAATCCGTCAAATAGGATATAATAAATTTAGAAAAATTATTACATTCTAAAATAAAATACAA